GATCCTGAACTCCACCATCTCATGATCACTGTAGCCACGGCTGCCCTTAACCTTCACCGCCTCAACCAGACCCTGCTTCTTAGTGAGAATAACATCCAGCAGTGCCCCTCTTCTAGTTGGCTCATCTACCATTTGCATCACAAAATTATCATCAATACACTGGAGGAACCTCCTGGACTGTGAATGGCTCCAGGAAATATCTGAGTAGTTAAAATCCCCCATGAGTACCAGGGCCTGTGATTGCGATGCTGCTGTCAGCTGCCTGTAGAAGGCCTCATCAACTTCCTCATCCTGATCAGATACCCTCAACACAGTATCTCCCATGCTAGCCTGCCCCTTGATTCTCACCCACAAACTCTTAACCCGCTCCTCATCCACCCCTGGACAGAACGCCATACATTCTAGTTGCTCTCTCATGTAAAGAGCAACTCCACCTCCTCACCTTGTTGGCCTGTCTTTCCTGAAAAGGACATAGCCATCCATCAGTATAATAGTGTACACTTCACTAAATTGTGTTTTTATAAATCAACTACAGCAAAATCTATTTTAAAAGGTAAGCATTTTAGATCCCCGCAGCAAATAAGAGGAAAAAATATCCAATAAGATATTACAGTATAAATTTATGGTTATAATCAGTGAAAATTTTTCATTTGTTTTGCAAGAAAAAGATTCCCAACGGAAATAGATGTCCTATAAAAATCTATTGCATCTTCAAAGTATTCTTAGGAAATACTCCGACATTTCTAGTAATGCTTTTAAACATGTAGTAATACCACATTGTCAATTACTGTAAATACTAAGTGATTTCTTCAACCTGTTTTCTTCATGTTCCACTGAAATCTGAGAGCATTCCACCCTCCAAGTGAACCAAGGATAAAAAAGCCTTCAAGTAAAACACCCATCTGCTAAACAGCCTTAACTAGATTTAAGTTTTTGCTCCTGTCGTTAGACTAAACTTAGCAGTGTCACTTCAGCAGCAAAGAACTTCAAGTGCCCTGGAAACCATTTGAACAGCAAAGTAAATACTCAGGAAATCAGCCCGTACGTACTCCTACGGCTCTGCTGTTGACAGTGAATGACATACAAAGTTGGGTGTGACCAATGACGTGACAAGCCATAACATAGCCCTGATCACATACCTGCCCTTTGTTAGTCGTAAAAGAAATTTCCAGTACGAAGGTCTCAGGTTCTGAACTTCCATGACAGCCTGCAAGGAGAGTATTCTGTCAGGGCCAGGCCAAAGCTTCATAGGCTACATTACGTTGCCAAAACCAGTGAAAGGAAACGACCTTTTTTTAAAAAACATTTTATTTAAAACCATCTCATGATTCACGGACCAAAAGCAGCTGTGATCACCGGCCGAGGTGAAGCACTACCAGTAGTCAAACCGCTCACAGCTGAATTCAATGCTCTATATGACCACCACCAGCACAGACTGATATTGCCAGACGACTATCTTTCAAAAGTGGCGGCAATTAACCTTAGATCTCATTGCAGAGAAAGCAACAATAATCCTTATTATTCCTATGTACGTGGTTTTGCACTTGTGGATGCCAAATTTCTCTGCTGTTCTATCCCCCACTCACTCTGCATTTTGTGATCTACTATTTCTTGCAGTCAGTCATCTTTATATTTCATGTTACATATCTTAAATAACAGTATGTAACCAAAATCCTTGCCTTCTCTCTATTCCATTACTTTTCCAGGTCATTTATGAATATAGTGAGTAACAAACACCTCTGCATAGATCCCTTTGCTAATTTCCCCCTCCTTGCTCCCTCCTAAACACAGTAACTTATTTCCAGTCTCGGGCTCCTTTTCTAGTTAGTTATTAAGTAATGAAAAGTTTATTTCTGTTAGCCTCATATGATGGTCCTTTTGCAGTACAGTATACGACAGTATTTTGGACCTCCAGGCACATCCCAACCACTAAAATATCAGTTGACTTTAATACTAGAATGAGAGATAACCACAAACACATGGGAGCCATGAGGATGAGGAGTGGAACTGTCTTGTTAGGCACGAGACAGCAGAATACTGCTTTAGGGTCATTTTATGTTCTCTTTATTGAGGGGTACAAAAAACACATATAGTTATGAGGTCCAGAAAACATGCAGTGAGCTGTTTCGGCAGAAGGTCTAAAACGGAGAAATGTCATGGAATAGTGGAGTAATTTGGGTACCACTGAAAAGGTGCTTTTCCAGCAGAGACAGCCGATAAAAGGACTGAGGGTGAAGGCATGTAATTGACTTGAAAGTGCAAAAGATGGTAACTACAGCTTGTTTCAAACAGAAAACTTCAGGTTTTCTTACTAGTTTTTTCAGATTCTTTCAATAGGCAACTCGAATTCAAGTTAGCTGAAAGTGAAAACTTCTGCTTGATTAAAAAAGCATAAAATAGTACAATACATTGTTTGTCTCCCTGAGAAACAGTCCATTCATATGCTTATGAAAGTCCATACATCTATGTTCACCTTGGGCAACGCATTTTGAGATCCTTTCCAAAGCATTCAATGCTTTGTATGACATATTCAGCTATAAGCATATGAGAAATGTGGGTCCTAGAAACGATCTTCTTCACACTGTGACACTCGAAAGCAGGATGCAGAAGCCCTGACTCACAGCATCTTGCTGGAATCTACATCACACCATCTTTTCTATATCACTGTAGCCCTGTGATCCTCTTTTCACTCAACATTTGACTTAAAGTAAAAGAACTTCATGTTTTGTTAGAAGGCAACATACTTACTGCCTGGAAGCATATCGATGTAGAAATGGCATAGATGATGCTGTCTGCATGAGGAAAGTAGGGAACCTTCCCTGCTTCAATGCCTTTGAAGTACATAGTCTATAAAAATAAACAAGAAATGCTGAACGAAACCAAATAAAGTAAAAATAGCTTTTTAATTTTTATTTATTTTACCTTTTCAAAGTAACATGTCAACATTACTAACCTATGCTCATGTATTTTTGTATATGTCCACAAATGTGACATTGATTGAGACAGCTTATAAAAGTTATCAAAGGTCAATAGAATAAGAGGCTATTAATGTACAGAACAGCTCGGGTGTTAAAAGGGTAGTACAGATCTTAAAGATAAAAAAGGGAAAGACTGCTTTTTAAATTCTTCATTTTAAAAAAGCAAAAGAACAATGCCATAACTATTCCAACAAAGTGAATATTCACTGTTCTTAAACAGCTTGAAATCACATACTTTTCTTTCTGAGAAAACATGTAAAGTTTATTTTCCTGAGCACAGCTTGACCTTCCAAAGCAGCACACGCCTCTTTGGTCAGTTACCCTTGGCTTGCATAAGATGATAGAAGTAGTACAAAAAAAAAAAAAAAAAAAAAAAAAGAAAGAAAGAACACACAGCACTTTTCTTATTTCACTGCAGCCGCAATGTCTCAAAGTCCAGAGAAAACCATCAGCAATACAAGATAATATTGGTTTTTTACAACTGGTGTTCTAAAAGTCAATATGGATAACTCAGATCTGCTTTTACACAACCAATACATGAACTACCTTCAGAGCTTGATCTAGGATTACAAGGAGCAAGAATAAACAATAAATCTTCCCTTTTTATGTTTAATTTTATGCTTAAAAAACATTCCTTCTTTTTATATTCTTTGAAATGAATTCTACTCTGGTAATGGAGATAGAAAAATATCACTAGGGAATGAGGCCCTCAAGGTTTGTAGGAGAAAGCTTTGTGATTCAGGGACGATGCATAATAAGAGAACGCTCTCAACTTATTCCAGTGGTGCTGTTGGGGAAATAACCATGACTAAGTCCCAATTTTATGGGAAAATCACAGTAAGAAAACAAGAGCTGGTTAGCAAAGTATAATCAACATACCCAAACTCTACAAAGTTTTTATTTTCCCTGGGCTCCTAATTTTAACAAGTTCATAGAAATAATTCAAGCCTGAAAAATGGCAATTAGAACGAAGTTCGTTGCAAAGCTGGGAATTCAATCAGTTGAAGTACACTGACAAACAACTCCAGCTATAGACTAAAAGCTAAGCTATTTTGAGTTATCTTAGACTGCTGAATGCCAAAATTAGGGAACAAAGGCAGGAAGTTAAGCTGCAGCTTTTGGCAATAAATCTGCAATTAAGGACTAGTTTTGATTTATGTTTCTGGCAGAATAGACATTCTTGGAACATTCAGATTTAAAAAATCTGCAAAAGCTACAAAGCAGGAGATTAAAAAAAATCATGGAGAATATACATGGAGACCAGTGGCTAAAGGACTTCTAAAATGAGTGACAGAAAAGAAAATAAGAAAGAAATGAGACCGCAGAACGGCACTGCCTTTTGGCACACACGTACTGAAACATATCACTGCAACACAACTTTATATTATACTGGAATTGTCTGACAAAGCCTGTGAAGTTCATTTGCTTTTTCTGCCTTGAAAAAAATAGATGAAATGAAGAACTCTGTTATGAGGGTAATATCTTACCTCTACTAATTTGGACACCAGATACATAGAGATAGTAGTACTTTTGTAAAACATCATAGAAATTCCTGCTAGACATCCTGTAACAATTAGAAAGCAAAAGTATTGTTAAGATTGTGATTCATTGCTGTTGCAGTATGTCAGCTCAACAGACACTGCATAAGATTATGTCTCCTGTTGCTACAACAAAGTTCAGTGATGCTCCTGCACTGCCCACCAAAATATAGTTTATGTCCTTAAATAAAAAAGAGTTCTGAAACCCTGAAATAAACCTGCAGTTCGGTGCTCAGGAGCACAGCATCAAGTTTCCTCTCTCGTCACACAACGAAGAGAGATCTCTGAGGTTCCAGTACGTGACAGATGCACAAACAGCAGGGAAGGTCTTGCATCACCACAAAAATTTCATGGCAAAAGGATCCTTCTTCAGATCCAGTGGAGCCTATACTTTCAAATGTGTATTCTGTCATGTATGGAAGAGTCAGTATTTGAACCTCACATCTCAACAGCTGGAAAATGAAGGACAAGTTTACATTCGCGCATACAAATATATTGTCCTTGAAGCTCATTGTAAAAAACACCATTTGATTGAATTTGCCTTAGAATTTTAATTGCAACTTTTTATTTGAAGCTACTTGAAACACCACTGTCACTTTGACACAACCTTGATGTACACAGTCCTATTTTCATCACACAAGTCTGAAAAGGGAATGGGAGGACAAACAAGAGAAATATTTGCAGAATGCCAACGGAAGCAATATAAACTTCTTGTCATGGACTCACCAGCTACAAGTGCATGAAGCTCATCATCTAGGTTTCGTACCCAACGCAGGAAGCAACTAGTACCCTGCAGGTGGACAGAGAGCAGGATTAGCCCTAGTTATTTCTCTTTCATAACACATAGACTGGAGACGTTCCTTTATAAGCTAGTAATACAGCACACAGTACGAATTAAGAGCGTAGTTTGATAATCATAGAATCATAGAATGGTTTAGGTTGGAAGGGACCCTAGAGACCATCTAAGCCAACCTCCCTGCCATGGGCAGGTGCACCTCTCAACTAGACTAGGTTGCTCGAGGCCTCATCTAACCTTGAACACCTCCAGGGAGGGGTCATCCACCTCGAATACTGCATTCAGTTCTGGTGTCCCCACCATAATAGGGACAAGATCTGTTGGAACGAGTCCAGAGGAGGGCCACAAAGATGATCCAGGGGCTGGAGCATCTCTGCTATGAGGATAGGCCGAGGGCACTGGGATTGTTCAGCCTGAAGAAGAGAAGACTCCGGGGGAACCTTATAGCTGCCTTCCAACACCTGAAGGGAACCTACAGGAAGGCTGGTGAGGGACGTTTTACAAGAGTGTCCAGCGACAGGACAAGAGGAAATGGTTTAAACCGAAGGAGAGTAAGTTTAGACTAGATCTTAGGAAGAAGTTCTTCAGTACAAGGGTGGTGAGACTCCGGAATAGATTGCCCAGAATACCTACAAACATAGAATCGTAGAACTGTTTGGGCTGGAAGGGATGGCTCTAAAGGCCATCTAGTCTGACCCCCCTGCCATTGGCAAGGACATCTTCAACCAGATCAGGTTGCTTAGAGCCCTGTCCAACCTGACCTTGAATGTTTCCAGGGATGGGGCTTCTACCACCTCTCTGTGCAACCTAATCCACAGTACCTGAAACATTTCAGTGTTTAATAGTTTACCCCTACCATTTCTTTCAAAATCAGAGAGCAGATCAATTTAATTGGAATACCAATCTAATTCCAAAGGTAATCTTGAATTCACATCATCTTTATTTGCTGTAGCTGTTTAGACTCTCCCATGATGAAGTCTGTTTTCAACTATGCACCAAACACCTAGAGATTTTCCCATACATCAAATAAATTCCAGGAAAACACATTAATCTAAAAAGTTAGAACTGCGTATGATTACAAGACACAGAGAAATGCGCAATAACCTGTTTGTCAACACAGACAACAATACAGAGCTGTTCAGGCCAGACTGGATGTAAGTAATTGTGGCTTAGGCTGCATTAAAATATATTTCATTTGGATGACCGCACGTTACCAAATGATCCAGATTGTTCCACATCTGCCACATCCTCTGCACTGTTTTTTCAACTGTTTTGGAAACCCACAGTTTGTCTCCAAATTTTCTCCCTGGTGAATTTCTGTTTGCTTCTAAATGGTTCGAGTAGTAAGGCCCAATCTAGTGCTGATGGCATCGAGAGAACGTTATATAATTCAGTATGAATTACGATGTCTACTTTGAGGTATGTGTGTCAGCCTCTTAACCCACCTCATGTGTACTTTTCACGGAATCAAGGAACAATATATGTTGGAAAGGACCTCTGGAGATCGTCTGGTCCAGCCTGAAGCAGGTCTAACGAGAACAAGTAGCTCAGGAACTTGTCCAGTTGAGTTCTGAGCATCTCCAAGGATGAAGACAACTCACTGGGCAACCTATTCCAGTATTTGGCCACCTTCCCATAAAAACATATTTCCTTATATTTCTCCAGAATCTCCTGTATTTCAGCTTGCATCCATTGCCTTTCACCCTATCACTGCACACGTGTAGGCAGCAATAAAATCCCCCGAGCCTTTTTCTTCTGGCTTAAAACCGAGTTGTTGCAGTTTCTCCTTGCACATTGTATGATCCAGTGCTCAAACCCTCTTGGTGGGCCTCAGGTGAACTCACTCTTGAAAAATACATTAAAATTAAAAAAAGAAATTAAGTAATAGCTGTGTTCAAAAATGGACACGGTCCCACAGGTGTGATCTCACTAGCTATTTTACAGTGCACATTTTTAATTAATAAATTCCTTGCAAAGCCATTGATACACTGCAATTATGACCGTTAACTTTCTTACTCAAACTTGTAAACTAGTTTAAAAAAGGCTACTATGGCCATCTTATGTTCTGCAAAACCATGTTTGCTGACATTAATTAACAGTAAAGGGAACAAAAAATATTAATAGTAGAGCTACCACAATCCTACAACAGATTTTGGACTGCTTTTAGGGACAAGATGGACTTTTTTTTATAAGCAGTCCATAATGCAATTTCTTTGCATTCAAAATGCATCAAGCATTTCATTTTTTTTGCTGTGGTCCAGTCTTTTGGAGTGACTAGAATCTCTGTTGCCCTACATGCTTATTTCAAACTGGAAGAAAAATATAATGCGACCCAAATCTGTGGAAGTTATGGAACACAAACAATAACAGAAAGTAGAATCACAGAATCATTTAGGTGGGAAAAGACTCTTAAGATCATTGAGCCCAACCATTAATCTAGCACTGCCAAGCCCATCACTAAACCATGTTCCTAAGCACCACATCTACATGTCTTTTAAATACCTTCAGGGATGGTGCCTCAACCACTTCCCTGGGCAGCCTGTTCCAGTGCTTGACAACCTCCTTGGTGAAGAAATTTTTCCTAATGTTCAACCTAAACCTCCCCCTGGTGAAACTTGAGGCTGTTCCCTCTTGTCCCATCACGTGTTCCTTGGGAGAAGAGACTGACCCCCACCTCACTACAACCTCCTTTCAGGCAGTTGCAGAGAGCGATCAGGTCTCCCCTCAGCCTCCTCTTCTCCAGGCTAAACAACCCCAGTTCCCTCAGCAGCTCCTCATCAGACCTGTTCTCCAGACCCTTCACCAGCTTCGTTGCCCTTCTCTGGACACGCTCCAGCACCTCAATGTCTTTCGTGCAGTGAGGGGCCCAAAACTGCACACAGGATTCGAGGTGCGGCCTCACCAGTGCCAAGTACATACTTAACAAACTACAAATAAAGGGCAGAGTATGTCACCCTCATAAAATAAGTAGCTATAGAACTAAATTACACTTTGCAATCGGAGCTTTTAAAAGACAGCAAAATCATTTCAGCTTTTGAAATTTCAATATTTTTTTTCTCTAAAGGCTTGCTCGTTTTTTAACTTTTTAGCAAAAATTTGATTTTCAAATAAATTGTGAACAGCCCACTTGGACTTTGCCACCAAAAATTTTAAACTCTGTAACTTTATAAATTCTGCAAGTCAATCTGACTGCAAGTCAAGCGAAATGCTGTTTTGCTTACAAATAACACCTGTTTTTTTAACTTTCAGTAAGTAATATTTACGCTGAAAAATACAGAATTATCTTAACTTTGCAGAGCAAGTAAAGTGGCAGTTGAAAAATGGCACATGTGATTAAGAATATAAAAGTGCAAAAGCCATCTATTTCAGCACGGCACTATGTAATACATTCTCCCTTAGGGCATGGGCTTCATCCCATTCTCTTTTGGCATAAATAAACATAATCCGATTAATTCCAACAATGCTGTAGAACGCGTATCAGTTCGCAATCTGTCATCTTATAATGGTGTAGAAGGGTAGAGTTCTAAATGGTAAGTGCAATGTCTCCTCAGCTGCACATGATGTATGTTCTGCAATCTCCTGCCACTTAGTGTCAAGAAAGAAAGAACTCCAGATATTTGAGCCAAAAAAATGTGCAAATGGCTTCTCTTTGGCAACACTGCTGCTACTGCAGTCACTACTTGTGTCTGCACTAAACTGTTTTTGTGTAACAGCAAGGCCCTTTGAAATCTGAATTTATTTTCTCTGAAGTACTCCTTATCTCCTGATCTTGATACCATGCTGCAAAATCCATCTGGTTTGTTCAGAAATGATAGAAAAAAATACACGGAATGGAAGACTAGTTTTCTATTTACAATTTGATTACTGTGATACTGTAGAATTCGCCAGTGACAGGCTGTAGCCAACCGTATCAGTAATATTAAGCGGCTAGACTTTTTAGCTCTCTGTGATATTCTGAAAAGTCAAATAAAACCCGTGGCATTCATCATTTCTGTATGTTATAAGCTTACTTTGTATATACTGACGAAAGATCCCAGAAAAGCTCCAAGCTGGAAATTTTCCTTGTTGTAGAAGAGGGAAAGTAGCCGGGATGGTTCTGTAAACAGATGCCGGAAGGTGGATGGAATCCGAAGGCAACACTGGATCAGGTAACCGATGCTAAACATCCTAATGAAGCCCTAGAGAAAAGAAAGATTTAGTGGTAAGAAACCACAAATTCAGAAAGAGGAAAAGCAAAAACATCTACAGAAGGACTTCTTTTCGACATCAAGCAGTTTAAAACCCACTCTGCAGATACTAGGTAAAATACATCCCCATCTTCAAACTCAAGATCAGTTTTATTTTCCTGATTCCCCTGTAAAATACCAAAGGCAATAAAATCATAGACAATTGACTGTTCTTTAATTTCTATTAACATCTGAAAAGCCTCAAGAGACAAACTGTTTCTCTTCTGCTCCAAAATTCTGTCCTTTGAAATAATCCTGATGACTTCATCTCCAGGTTACTGACCAGCTTTTAACCACAAATGGGTATATAGAGAGGAAAGTAATGCAGTGGAAAAAAAGAGCACTTCTACACTCAAATGTCTGGAGAAAGCACTAAAGGAGGAAAAAGTCCACAAAATTAAATTTCAGAAAGTGTGAATTGACCCGGATGGCTTGGCACGTGCTCATATACTTCCCCTCAACCAAACCAGAGGCTGAGTGATGCCTGCAGCAAGAGAAAAGGCAAAACTGGAATGGAGATTATATGCAGAGCCACTGAAAAAGGACAACATGGGTTCCAATATTTTTTTCTTACTACCGCAGCTTGGATACAGATCTGCTTTTTTATACCATGTCATGAAAACACACTGACTTTTTCTTTCCAAATTCTTCTCCCCAGTTTCCTGTAACTTCCTCCAAAGCTTCATTATTCTTACCCTATGGCTGAACTTCTCTAATCACTCTGAATAAAATCTATCCATTTTTCGGTTGGAAGATGCCTTATGTGAAAACTACCTGTGCACTCCCATTGGCTAATAAGGCAGGCACCCAACACTCATGGTTTCTGTAGTTCATTTTTCAGAATATACTCAGGGACATCGAGGCAATTCCAATTACAGGGACAACTGGCAGAGGGTTTGATTGAGCAACCCTCAACCTTTCAAACTCAGAAACTCAAAATATTTTTCGCTCCTACAGAACTTTATAATGCATCATAAAGCTCATAAAATTTTATTGTGGTTAAACATCCAGTAATAAACTCTTCCTGAAGCAATTACTCTCCCTGCTACTCAAAAAGTGGTTTATGAGAATCAAGTGGAAGATGATATATTGTGTCATCCAATGATCCAGTAGCTATGAATGAAAAATTTCTACTTCTTCATCTGTTATTCTTAAAGGTATGTAAATTGTACGTACCAAACAGCAAACGACCCAGTGTTTTCTGATTGTGAATGAAAATGCCTACTGAGAGGATTGCAAGGTAGGCAGAGATGTAAATGCACTGTGAATCTTTTGCAGTTAAAATGTCAAAATTAAGATGAGCACATATTCACACCCAAAATGAACAGCCAGCCTAGTGTGAAGCACATAGCCCTCGTTTTCCAAACGAGATGATTATGACATCAGGTACCATTATACAAAAAGAAGGTCCGAAAACCAGCAGTTCTGAACAAAGCCCAAAACAAGAGCACAAACATCAGTATGGTATATTTGACATTTTCACCCAGCTGTAGGAAAGGTTACTTTGATGGGGTGAGGAACGCTGCATTAGGAAACACTTAAATTCCAACTGGAAACACTTAAACCTATCTGTGATTTCATTTTTATGAGTAGCCTACTTAGAAGCGCTGAACTGAAGGACTGAGGCTTAGTTTTGATGTGCACCAAACAATAAGTAGCACAAAATCTTTCTGTTTAGCTTATTACATCAACCAGGTGAATCCATATCATACTTACAGGTGTTTTTCAGAGTCACAGAAAGTATTACATCTTATAACCAATGCACAATATTGTAACTTTTACCTTTCATAAAAAGACCTCAAATAGTAACAGAGGTAGAAAATAGTAGAGTATATGCAAAGAAAACTGCTAAGAGCCATTTTTCTCCACAGAGGTTTTGAGTTGGGACTCAGATCAGCCAGAAGCAGCGGCACAGTGAAACTACATATCTGCAAAACTCATTGAATAAACCTTTTTTTTTTTTAACTTCGAGAAACAGGTTTCTTAAAAAGTTAATAATACAGTCAAGATATTGCCTATAACTCAAATTCAGAAAAGCACACGTGTGCACATGCAGAGCTCAGTAATAAACCAAACCTCAGTCAACCTGTTGCAATATATCAGAATTAGTGAAGATATTTTAAATCAATTAGTTAAGATATTTAAAATTTTTACTGGGTATACAGTCATATACAGTCACCCTTGATCCTTCAAGAGACAGAGTGCAGAGATTACAATCATCAGAAAATGATCTCATATTCTTTTTGGTCAACTTAGTCATTAGATAGGTTGTGAGGGTTATCTGCTGTCATCCACAGCATCAGCAGAAGGAATGGACAACTGGACTAGTACTGCTGGCTACTGTCACATTGTAACCAGCTGGAATCACAAAAGAGGAAAAATATAGTTTGACGGGGTTTGGTAGCTCTTTTCAGACATTTACAAACCCAAAGTATTTTAAGTACTTAAAATTTGAAGAGAAGTCTGTGAAAACGGGTGGTAGGTCATTACCAAATGTTACACAAAAGCTATCACAGATTATGTCAACTAGCTAATGTGCATTTAAATGTGAAGCAGGAAAAAAAGCGCATGCAATGACAATTAAAGCACAGATATAATAATGAGAAGACAAGAATTCAAGGGTAAGGGAAAATAAAGCATGGAGGGGAAATTCTGGCAATAAGCAGCTCACCAGATCACTATCAGATTTGAAAGCTCCCTTAGAGGTATGGAATTACAAAACCATGCTCAAATCATGTCAGCTGGGAGTTATTACTGATTGACTCCAGGAACAGCCATAGAGAGAGCTGAAAACACTTTAAGAATTCCGGATCTTCAAAAAGGATCAAAAGAAAAAATTTCACTTATATTTTAATTTTTTTAAAAAGCCACAGAAAAGGCAGGAAATTCAAAGATCATTCTGCCATTTCAGTGATATTTCCCTGATTATGGTGTTGTAGTCAAGAACAATTTACACTAAAATACTATACAAGACTGGTACAAGAACAAAGTATAGTTCAAATGCACAACTTGGTTTCTCTAAAGAGAGAACAGACTCATAAAAATGTATTTTTTAAAAAAAAATTATTACTTTTAGTCAGGTCAAGACTTAGTTCAGCTCCATTATCAGTCGTGTTTTCTTCTCCCCTCATCCCCTTTCAAGATTATATGAAATGTGAACAAAATGATGCTGAATAAACAACTGAAGAGGACAGAGACTCCTGACTATCCCCTTTTTAGTTTTCCTCTTCTTGTCATCATTAACACATGTTCCTACTCAACTGAAAAAGCCTAGAGAGAGCAGTGTGCAGACAGTCTACTGTAATCTGAGTAATTCACAATCTGAAATGAGATTTAGGTCACTCCACTAGAGTGACTGAACAAGACCACCTCCTATTTCTTGGTCACCCTTCTATTTCAAAGGCACTTCAAGCTCATTATATTCCGTAACGGTCAGACCACCTCTTTCTTTACCCACGAAGTCTCACACACAATCAGCCTTCCAGCAAATTGTGATTGTTTTCCACAGAGAGGAGGCATCAGCTCTATTATGAGTACTCTAACAGAAACCTTTGTTTGTTCTAACTGCACTTGTGAAATAATACAGTGTCATGAGGGTACTTAGAGATTTGACTGCTGAGCATGCAGCACAGAATGCATAAGGGTTTTGTGTGAGATTAGTAAATAAGCTCAGGAAACAAGTCTAGACTAACAGTAGTTAAGAGCTAACTACTGTAAAATATGCCTAAGTAAGGAAAGACAGCACACTTTATGTAAAAGTGCAGCAGACTGAAGTTATAGCAAGGCACCCATGTAAAAAGATGCAAACTAGGAGATACCACCATCAGCAGAGATCTGGAAATGCAGCATATCAACCCATAAAATCACTTCTGCTTAATTTTAAACTTTGTTTTGAGTGTAATCTTCATGGCAGTCCTGAACACCGATTCTGAAAGCCAGACACTGATATCTATGGGGAAAACACAGAGTGCTCTGCAAATGAAGCACAGGGAATGTTTGCTCCCCAGAGGATGCTGACCAAACATGAGCCCTTGGGAGATGGGAGACAAAGCGGGCCAGGAGGCACCGAACAGCAAACTGGCTGGGCAAGGCACTGAACAAGCACAAAGCAAATGGAAAGTCTGTGTTCTCAAAGATACTATGCCTTGAAGAAAAGAGCCCATGAATGAAACATGAAGTAGATTGAGACAGTGGTGAGAGGTTGTAAAATTGTAATTTTAGTCTGGGTTCTGTTACATATATGTCATACCTACAACAGAAAGGTGACATAACTATCCCGAGCTATTTGCAAATGCTCCACTGCACATTCTCATCACAACAGCAGAACGCTTAAGCACCATCTCAAATCCTGTCAACTCCAGCACAACTTACAGCCATGATACACAGCAGTATGCTAATATACTGCAGTGCAAAAAGTGGTAATACAACAGAAAACGATGTTGTTAATAAGCATACATGAATAAATATTGTGCTAGATCTCTTCTGATGCTAAAATTAAGTGTAGCTCTTCTGAGATAACACTAACTGCATATAAAATTTTAAGTTAAAACAGTTATTTTTCAAAGTAATATATATCAAAAGCATCTGAAGATACCAAATCCATTTTTGCTGCTCCATATACAAAAATGGGTAAACTGTTAAGTGATTGAGAACTTCTGGAGTCTTACCAACCCCTAAAACAGGCATAGCAGGTGGTACCACCTGTGCCAACCCAACGCCAGCCAAAACAAATCTCTACACAGTACTCCTCTAAAAAAAATGCGCTGATCACATAAATAACGGAGGCTGAGTTATGCCACCAGACATAAACAGCTCTTCCTGGGCACAGCAACTGTGACCAATCTCTCATTACCCTGAGCCCTTAAAATAAGCGAACGGAGGAGCGAGCCCAGGGCCCGGCAGCAGCGTGCCAGACCCGCGCAGCTGCACGTGTGCCCGGGCTGCGCCGCCTGCCGCAGCAGCGCATTCCAGGTGCTTTATTTCGGGTGGAGTCACAAGTGGGCTCAGCCGGGAAGTGCATCACATAGTTAAACAAGTTCCTTGCTTGCTAGCCCATATTTTCCCACACATTTTATGTTATTTCTTCGCTACAGCTAATCTGAAAGACCAGAGAACTTTAACCCCACCACCACCCCGTCCTAAATTGAGAAAATCTGTTTTCAGGCTTGTCACATTTTCAATAGAAGAAGAATGAGTAACAGACTCCCCTCTCACTTCCGAAGCATATGCTTTTTCTGACTAAAGACTTTTACCCTGTCTTTGCCAGAGTTTGTCAATCTAATTTTTTCTGCACTTACTTTAATACAATATGAGATGCAGTTATCTCCATAGTGTTTACAGCATCTATGCCTTGGGCCATGTTTGCACCTGCAAAAAGCACAATGAAACACATATTAACTTGTAGCTGTTTTCAGCGTCATTGACAGGAGACTTCATAAATTTTTCTCGCCTAAAAATGCATAAAGTGCTATTTTCCCACCACTCATTCTCCGCATTACCCATTGGAGGGCACTGTGAACTTTTATGATGCCATAAAAGGACAATAAAAACTAACAATGCTTTAGTTGTACTGCAAGATGTCTCTGCATACTTATTTGGATCCAACCTTTTGCCATGCAACACATTAAATACAAAATTAAAGAACAAATTTTCTGCTGTGGCCAAGAGGGAGAAGTGATGTGACCCTTCCCGGTTTGACTCTTCTCTGTGGTTCTGGAAGGACATTTGACCAGGCATCCGTTATCTTTGTCCTTACACCTTCCATACCATTCTAAGGTGCACTAGAGGGCAATGCAGAACATACAAACGCACAGAGATACCCCGTGAGACTTCTCTCAATTACAAACCTTTCACTTCTGCGCTATTTCTTCTACTGTGTAGATTTTTACACAGGTCTTAGTTCAGACTAAGAATTTGACCCCAAGCATTTAAAAGAGACTGGCCTGGGATGGTGGTACGTATGGTTTGTACAGTGGTTAGCCCTGCATTATGTAGAATTAAAAGAAGTAATGACACACCAGGTCTGAACATTATATTTTGCCATAGCCAAGTATTTAAGTTTTAATGCAAAGTAAATTACACAATTTATATATTGTGTCAAATATCTTGGAAGTTTCGAATCGTTTACTATAAAGTCTAATGGCCATAAATCATCTGTGAGGTCAGTTCATGCAGCAAAAACTGTAATGAGAATGTGATCAGGTTACAGGCATCTAGACTCAATTATATTGAAAAGAACCATATGGAAGAGAAACTTGTGAGAGCATTAGGACTGAAAACTGAAAGTTTTCTGAATGTTCAAGTCAGGAGTTTCAAAACCTTAAAGAAAAAATGCTCTTCTCCATCCTGAGTCCCTTGATCCGTATTTAATGAACAGTGGAAGAGCTACAAACTACCTCTAGCAAACTGAATAATACAAGATAAAATAGGTATAAGCAACTCAGCTAAAAAAATCTGCATATGGCTGGTGCTGTCTTCTCCTTGTAGGTCTTTTGTTGTCTATTAAGAGTCATGCCTGATAAGGCACTGCTGACTTCCCTCGTATTTTTCAATTAAAAATGACAGCAAATCATAGGAAGCCGCCATGTGATGTAGGTCACTTCATGTCTGTTCATTATCTGAGCAAGTAAGATTAGCCACTACTTTGAGAACACAATGCAATGCACTTGGTGGATCTCTTTCTATCCTGCATGTCAGCAGGTAAAGATCGGGTCATAAAACTGCTCCTGGAGAGGTCAATGGAAGTGACGATTCATAGGTGTGGTATGAAAAGAACCCTAGTCCATTTTTTATTCCATCTTCTTTGTACATGAATGACTCCTTGTGGTACCCAATGTGCCTGAAGCTGACAAACCAAGCACAGCAGAAGTACCTCACCTGAACATATTAGACTGAAAAGCTATCTGATGTCATCTATTTAAGCTCTTACCAAAGGACAATAAATTGGACCCAGTAGACCAGGATGGAACTGATCTCACCTAACTTCAGATGTCTAGATCCAACTTTGTGCAAAACAGTTTTAGACTCACTCTTTGCTTTCCAGTTTCCTATCTCCTGACAGTGGAGGCAGGCCATGTGCTACCACTACTGTTCTTGGGCAGCTCTCTTTTATGCAATACAAAGATGTAAGTCTCCAAAAAGATGATGTTATGGTCACAGTGACCAAAGTAAAAGTCTGCTGCTGTGCAATTCCCTCTCCTTAATATCACTACTAGCACCAGCAGAACCATGCCATGAGTCAGTTTTGCCAAAAACTGCAGAAAAAGGAACCACTACTCTGCCACTCAGAATTGATTGAATTTACCCTCCCTTGTTAGACAACCACACGTTGCAAGTCAGTGCTGTGACATACGGGTCTTAATTTTTCATTTCATTAGAGTTCATCTTTTGTCACTGCTAACTACGCAGTAAAAATGAAATGCAAAACACTTAAATGCAAAGCAAAAGTATTATAAAACATTGTCAAATCAACATAACAAAACATTAAAATTAGCTAAAGAATGATTTGTTTTGTTATTTATTTCTTTTGTTTTCTTTGACTTACACTTTGTCCACGAGCTTTTTTGTTAGAGCCAGTATGTTCCTTGGCTGTGGTACTTTTTCACAATGCTTTATCTTTCTATCTATTTTTGAAAATGCTGCTTCTGGTGAAAATGAATGAGTGGGTATTTCTTCTTTCCAAAAAAAAGAAAAAAACAAAACAGAACAAAACAACAACGATATAAATAACTCAAAGAAATACCTAAAGTCTAGCATAAGTCTCTAAGTCTTTAAGACAAGCTTGAAGTTACCCACACGTCTGCAAAAGAAAATGCATTCTATACAACTGCCAAACCTTGTACCTCTTTGAAAAGATCACTCTACAGACATATATTTAAACTTCAGATACTGGTCACAATTGCTGTCAGGAATTTTTTAAAACTAGGAACAAAAACATTACTAGGGAAGTCCTTCTCTGATACAAAGGAGCACTAAATAAGAAAATAAAAAGGCACATGAAATATCTCAATTATCTCCAGCAAAATGGGGTTACATAAAGGTTGATAATTACTACAATATTTTTATAAAATATCTGTTTGTAAAATCTTCAAAATATTTTCGCTCCTACCAAAAGCATCAACTTTGTTTTGCTTGGCTTCATCTTCAGCCCTCTTTCTTCACCCAGAAGTTGATACTGTCAATACACCAGTACATCTTAGGTATAGAATTACGGCATATCAAGGGCAAGAGAGGGCACAATGGCAAGATGTTTCCGAACACTTTGCGCTATAATCCCAGTTACACTGTACTGTGGTAGTCTTGCTGAGGGTGATGAAGGTATAAAAACTTTGTCATGCAGTATATGACTGTGAACTGGTGATTTTAGAAAGCACTGTTTCCGCGTGTTGCCACAGGAGTGTTTCATGTGCATATTTCTGGACTATAGACTGACTTATTTAACTGTTGGCACCTTCTATCAAATTCCATGTCTGCTTCATAGCCATAAACTGTATAAAATATTTCCCACTACCAACAACAGCAAGCCCATCTTGCTTGACTTCATCTCTTCTCTTCATCGTCCACGTACTGGGCTGTCTGAGCGAAGGACAGGTAGCAGAGTAGGTAAAGGAAAGATAAGAATAACGTGTCTTTTTACTTCTGACACAAGACACAGAGACAGAAGAACTTTGTATAACTACAACAAATCAGTAACAGCAAGGGGCCCCATTTGCAAAGTAAATTCTAGGACAGGCTGGACCGCGATGTCAGACACAGGTTTAGTGGCCTGTCGAGGATATCTCAAATATGCCACAAATCCATGCTTTATTTGGGGGCTGGTTACAGAACTACTGTTGTATTCATTAACATCTTGTAAATGCAGCAAATAAACTCCAGGTCAAAACACAGCAGGTATTTGCTTCCAGGAGAATGGTAGCAATCATGAATCCCAGTTTTAGAAAGAGAAATTATTAACACTCCTTCAAAAATATGCAACTGGATATCTGTGTTTCCTTTAGTAACAGTCCCAAATGTGAAAAGATGCGTCTCTTGCCAGCATATCATGACTTCTGCAAAACGTGCTGCATACCCCGAAAGTCAGGGAAGTTTTACAACAGCATGATTTTTCTTAGGAAACTTTTCATACAATGCAGCTGCCACTGTGCACGATTCCTCAAAATCTTCACTTTAAGCTACATACTCACAGAAACTCTACTTACTTCAGTGCAGAGTATGTAAATCCTTTCAAGCCATCTTTGCACCTGAAACATAAAACCAACAGTTTTTTCTATAACAGGCTGCCTGCAATATAAAGTGTTATAGATTAAATATTGCGTAGAAGGGCTGTGGATGAACACTAGCTTCTCTTTAATGGAAAATGGCACACATGTAACAACTCCGGCTATCCCTGACTTCACAGTTGTCACCATGGCCTTGGGACATCTCAGAAACAGAGGGTGGAGCATACAAGTGCCAGTGCTTCTCTCTTTTATCCAAACCAAGAGTGGAGAAATTTTTACAGGATGGTGACAGAACCACTGGGGTGACAATGGAAGACTTCACATGACAAAGAACTGTTGCTGTATGGAAAAGAAGTCACGATGAGTTTTACAAAACATAAATGTTACTGCAAGGAGAGGAAGCAGGGTTGGACCTTAAAAAAATACCCACCCTCTTGCAAAGAGCTGCAGGCAATAGTTATTCTGACTTTGAGATAAACTGTTACACTCTGCACAGTGCTGATCTCTGCAGCTTGTACTTTAGGGAGACTCTCAATCTGAAAGCCCCAGTTTTTCAATTATATAGTGGTTGCTTGGATTCTGAGCTTGATTATATATATCCTTCCTTATAGACTGTAAGGTTCCTCGTGTGAATAATGACCACAGTAAAGAGTCTGTAGCTGGCTGTGAAAGATCTAGGTTATTGACCTTTATCTGCCCAGGATACAATGAAAGGAGCTTAAGCTTGCAGCTGCTACAGGTTCTTCCTACAAGATTTGTCAGTGTCATGTTGGCAGCAAAGCAAAGACCAGGTACTTGGGGTTTTTTCCCTTTTCTTTTTGTAGAATTGCATGGGGAATACATCACGTTAAAAATGCATTCCCGACACAATACATATTGCACAAACTAGTAACTTACCAACACCATCATTTCAAGAGCACATCTACTCTAAGAGAAGACAAGGCAGCAGTCACAAAACCTTCATAAGCGGGAGCAGATGAACACAACCCTTTGCCTTCTGCCTGCAGAGACCAATTTGTCCCTGGAAAGCCTGTGCCCACAGCCTCCCGAGAACATGTGACACCATCTCCCAGAAGGCACCATGGTCAACACGTGCTACCGATGGCTGGATACACACGAACAGCAGGAAGTACATAATGAGATTAAAGTTGTTCACAGATCAAAAAGCTTGTCCCGGCAGGCAAGCGCCTGGTGCAGTGCTGGTAAGAAATCACAGCATTAAATGCTCCTGGGAAACTCTTCCCAAGGGTTGAATCTTCAACACCCATGTTTCCACGGACTTGGTTCTGTCACTATGTGCACAGTGCTAAATAAGTATCAGGCACAGTTACACACGGCACTAGAAAATCTCTCTTTTAAAATGACTGCACCTAAAATCTACAGGGGTTCTATAGGGCTTCAAGGTAAACACATCCAAATAAAATTGTTCCCTGTCTCTTCAATTGATATAGAACTTTGTAACCAAAGACATGTAAACATTTTACTTTATATGGTTCTTCACCTATGGAATTCAGAAGCTGAGAAGTACCACAGCATTTTTACAGAAAGAGGGACTGAAACAATTGGTGAGTGATGGACTGAAACAGATGAAATCAGCTTTGCCCAGAGAGCACAGCAAATCACTGGCAGAACTACAAACAGAGCCCAGATGCACAGGGTTTACATATAGCCGCTCCATCCACAAAACCACAGTCCAGCATCATGAGTCTGGTTTTAAACTTACAGTTGCCTGTAAGTTGAATGCGCTTTAAGTGTTCAACACATTACATCTGCAAGCTGCCAGCTCAAGAACAGGTCTTTAGTTTCTACTTTTCTTTTCCAGTAAATTAAAACCATACACAAGCTGAAATGTAAACATGCATATGTTTCTAGAATAACATCGAAACAGAGAAGTAATTATAGTATGAGCAAAATGATGTTTTTGCCTTAATCATTTCAATGAAACTGCACTTCCAGTTGTTCAATTATTCCGTTCTTGCACCACCAGATGTCCCTACCCAACTAGTGCTCAGACTGACCCGACTCGACTGATGACAGTCTACAACTCGTTTGCTTTAAACCTCCTCAGAGAAGTTGTCATTCAAATCCTTTCTTCACTAATGCTGAAAATCAGAAGACATCTGAATCACCAAAAGAGAAAACAGAACTCCAACCCCCTCCTCATTACTCCAAGAAACACAAAAAAGATTTCTAATGCCTAGTCTAGTTACACAATTAAAGTCAATTCTATGCAATAAGTGGTGTATCGGAATTTTATTAGTTATTCCTAAATGCACCGAAGTTCAATGTGTAGTTCAATATGGAAGTGGCGCTTCTATATTTTTCCCCATCAACTTTCTAACTTTTTAAATTACAACACAGCATAAAAGTGCAATTTATGATCTTAAATAGAACTTAATTCATCCTGCTTGCTTTCTAAAATGTCTTGTGTGAAGTCATTATGCAAAACTAATGGGTATGTCGAAATACTGCTTATTAAGGGTTTCAAAAACAGGAGTCCTAGAGAAACAATAGTTTTGATGAATAGTAATTTGCACTGTAACTTTCCCTTCTTTGACATGGCAATCTTGCTTGTACAAATGAAGCAGACAACAAAACTGGAAATCCAATTTTTGGCTTTACATCATGAATTCAGTGTATTAAAGGTTTCAGAATCCTGGTCTAGAGATCGAAATTGCCTTATTTATTCACTCACTTGGTACACAGCTCTGGCAGCAACAAAAAAACCCCTCCACACCGACTCCAAACCCGTTTCTTTTGCAGGCAGATGACAACATCACCCCATGCAGGGACACCGGGGAGACGTCACAAATCCAGCAACTGGCCTCGACAGTGACTGCTGAAGTACAATGCTAGCTGCACATGGCACATTTCATGAACACCTGGCTGCTAATAACTGAACTAAGACTAATGATTTGCTTCCTACAGCCACTAATTGGTAATAATAATGCCACCACTAATTGGTAATAATAACTTTTACTCAATGCTTCACTGCTCAGGGGGTGAAAAAGTCTGCACTCTGCTGCTGACCCCCGCAAGCCGTTCAAGCTGCCAATGAGCACAGTAAAATGCATTCTGTCAGCCCAGCATTGCAGATACCCCTGAGTTGGGAAAAATCTCAGTAGTGTATTATAAGCCTGTTTTTAGGGTATTATTCAACCTGGAAGTTCTGAGATAACGGGTGAGTTGCATGCCGCTAGCGGTACTTGGCGCAGCTCACCTCTGCTACCATTCCCACCACTCTGAACGGCCCAGGGACCAAATCCCAACCTGCAGGAGGGCGGCACCATTTTTTGCCCAGCGAGCAACAATTTAAAGGGCGCATTATCTGGTTACGTTTTCCCATCGGAGGGGAATTTGTCCCTGGTACAAAGCCAGCGGCACCAGCGACTCTGCCAGCTGTCCCCATCGGGCACAGAGTCCCTTATCACGCAGCAGAAATGATCTGCTCTGTTCCAGCTCGGTTTTGGCCAGAGCCACGACTAGAGCCGGAGGAGCAGAAGAATCAAGGAGTCATAGCAATAAATTTGGATTCTCCAAATTCCCCTGCTGGGACAATTCTGGCACATGAGCAAATAGGGTCGATTTTAATCGTGCATATTTATAACACAAATTTAACTTATGGCCACACACATTTATTTTTTCATAAAGAAAACAGCAAAAGTGGAACAGAGCCAAGACTTGATACTAAGTATACTTCCAACAAGTCACAAAGTAACCCTAATTATTTATGTTTGTGTGCATAAAGAGGTGCTGTACATGATTTTACACTCTCTCCCTCCATCCTGTGGGAAGAAGTTGCCACACTGAACTGTAAGGCTGGATGCCAGCAATTATGTTGTGGGTTTTTTTATTACTACATCTTGTCGTAAGTCTTCTAAAGATTTTCTCTGTGACCAAGTGATATATCCTGCACAAGAAGCCTCTGAGGAAACAAGTCACTTTTCACCCATGGAACTAGTAAGGAGAAAGCAGCTCACAGCAACAACATATGCCATGTTTAACAACATCCCCATATTGCTTCTGTTATCCTTCAGGGTAAGAGTAAATTAGAAACTCTTATATGCAGAGCTCTCATTACGGCCACGTGGAGAGGAAACACTGCAAGCACAGGACACGTGCTGGCATATCACTGCAGCACATCTGCCTGTAAAGACTGGCCGGGGGAACCATGTTTCCGATTTAAGGTGTCTTGTTTTATGGAGAAGAGAGGATCACAGTGATGAAACGTGATTGTCTGAACACGCCAGCTACATCCCTCATTATTAAATCCCTTACTCTTAGGAATTAAAGGCTACCTACGACCCTTTGTGAGCTGTGCTGAACACTGGAGAATAATCCATTTTCTGTTTTACGCTACTTGCAGAAGTTACTACACCTTTCCCCTTCTGTTTTTCTATCCTCCTTTCCTTGTCTTCTCCCCAGTGTTAACAGCCAACAGCAACAGGTGTCATTTTTCTGACTTGTCTTCTGTATCTATTTCTCTTCTTCCTTTTCCATCTGTTTTGCTCTTTATTCCTGCAAGTTGAACTCCTGTTTTGTATTTCCCCCCAATCTGTCTTCTAAATGTTATTCTCAAAATTCTTTTTCTTAAAAAAAAATAGAATAATAAAAATCCATCAGTACCTTCTCCACACCTTCTCATGGTCTGACACTTTCCACCATGCTAATCAAGTGGATTGTGACTACAAAATTGAAAGTGCAGAATAAACACTGCTAAAAAACTGGATTATAAAGAAATTCAAGGCTCAGCGATGCATGCTTAATCATTCTGAATCAGAGAAATGGAAGGATTAGTTCAAGACCTGTTCTAGTTGTTTTGAGATTGATTTGTTTATGTGGTGACTTTAACATAAAATTACATTTTGGAAATATTAGTTTTCCAAAAGGCTCTGGGTTCCAAACCAGTAAGACCTTCCTCACTGATGTACCTCTGTAGAAAAAAGTTACACTAAAAATGAAGTATTTTATATCTCTGGATATAAAGTAAGAGCTAATCCAGTCAAATCTGATAAAATGAAGGAAACTGAAACCAAAGTTTATTAAGAAATGTGTACCACTATTATTTTTCCCAGTGGCAGAATACAACTTTTCATTTTAAAGTGGAAAATACGATTTCTAAAGATTATAATTGAACATGCCACAAAATCCATTTTGACTTGTTATTATTTAGTTGCAGTGAACTTTCCAACTATCTGAACAGCATCTAGATCCTTCTCAGTGACCAAAGAACAACATGATTATTGTGCTAATCCTAACACCCGAATCCATCGAGCTGTCAGTGCTTTATGACGAGCCTGCAGAAAGACATTTTGGGCCTCATTTAGACAAATCTATGGGAAACTGGATCCTAAAAATCTTTGTAGATATGGTTATATATCAGAGCCTTCTGACTTTAGGAACTACTGTGATGACTTTCACATCAGCTTAAAAAAAAAGAATACTCTTCTTATATATTTTCCTATCAGAAATCATATCATAGAATCATAGAATGGTTTGGGTTGGAAGGGACCTCAAAGATCACCTAGTTCCAACCCCCCTGCCACGGCAGGGGCACTTCCCACTAGACCAGCTTGCTCAAGGCTCCATCCAACCTGGTCTTGAACACTTCCAGGGGTGCAGCATCCACAACCTCCTTAGGCAAACTGTTTCAGTGTCTCACTACCCTCAGGGTGAAGAACTTCTTCCTTGTATCTAGTCTAAACCTGCCCTCTCCCAGCTTCCAATCACTGACTTGCATCAAATCTAAAACTGCAGGACCCTATTTGGAAGCAGAGAGGCATTTAGATGCAATTCCTTTGGATCAAAACCACTACTTGCAATTGAGTAGCATCTAAATATAAAGGCAATTCCTTTCTAGATCTACAGCTACAAGCAGCACAGAAGATCAAAACGCAGAAAGTCTC